GAAAATCCAAGAAGTGACTTGGTAGTGATGAAACTTAGGTAGAGGCTTGAGCTTTTGTATAAGTCTAGAAAGAAGTCTTGCAAAACAATGACATTGGTGTTGAATATATGCATTATTGTTTTCTTTTGTTGGTAAATTTGTTTGGAGTCTATACATTCGTGCATACTTTCGTTTGGAAGAGGTAATGAATCTATGCAAGAGGATCTCTATGATGTTCTTCCTTGGCCTTAGGGGTGCTTTTATACCTTGACTAGATCATATAAAATAGATCTTCTCCTATTTGAGATTGGCTTGAAAAGGTCAGTTAGAGAAAGGCGATCTGATCCATATGCTCCTAGGCTATGTTGTATTTGGAGCGCCTTTGACGATTTTGGAGATTGATACTACATGCATGAACAAGTATGAATGAGTCCTTGAAAAGTGTTAGTGGGTGTTGGTGTATTGAATGAGAATGATTATTTTATATGCTTGAGTTTGCATGAATGATGTTGTATATTGTACTCAAATATATCATCAAAAGTGATTACAAAGATAAGAAAAAGGTTTATATAGAATGGGAGAAACATATGGTGCAAGCTAGGCTAACTTGACCGGCCTAGTTGGTTTAGGAGGCTTGTGGAGCAAGCTTCTAACTTAGAAGCTTAGGAAGCAAGCTAAGTTAGAAGCTTGTAGCACAAGCTTCCCAAGTGTGCAAGACAAGCCAAGCAATTCAGCCAAAGAACTAAGCTAGGTAGCCCACACTTGTTTTTCCATACACTACTAGAAAAACACTCTTTAACATCGCTATATTTACATCGGTTATACTAGAACCGATGTAAATCATAAACGTGGTGGCAAACTTGTAAATAAAAAGAAAATGCAAACATATTTACATCGGTTGGGAGAAGAAACGATGCAAATATGAGCAATTCTACATCGGTTTTATTATTTACCGATGTAGAAGTGAAACCCTAATATGTGCCCCACGAACACCTTCACGCCCCCTTCCCCACCTCTCGCCACACCCTTCCTCATCTCCCAACCTCACACCCCTTCCCTCCTCATCGTCGCCCCCTCCCTCGCCCTCTTCCGCCACCTCTGCCACTCCACCCCCGCCACCTCCCTCCTCCTCTCGGAGCTCCCCCTCTCCGGCCCTAACCACACCGCTGACCTCTTCGCCCTCTCCCTCTGCCCTCCTCGCCATCGTCCCCACCCACCGCACCCACACCCTCACCCGTGCCCTCCTCTCCACCCGCATGGCGCCTCGCTCCGTCCTCGTCCTTGACTCCCTCCAACCTCCCAACTTTCGCAAGAGCCTCTTGTCCAACGAAATGCTGGCGTTTAAGCTCAAGAGCTCAGCCGAAAGGAAGAGGGTCGAGGCTGAGAAGATGCTCCCCGGGGTTCAGACCTCTCTCTGAGATCACTGGGGTGTGTCCCCGTTGCAAGGAGCAAATCGATTGGAAACGCCGTTACGGCAAGTACAAACAATTAGTTCAACCTGCCAAATGGTATTGTTTTGTCTATTCTTTTTGTTTTTCATGAATTCAATTAGTTTATTATCTTTTAGGCTTTTGTTGATTAATTGGTTAATTGGGTTGCAGTCAGAAATGTTCCAAGCGTAATGTTCGCCAAGCATACCACAACTTGTATTCTGGTGAGTATCAAACTTGTTTTTTTTTTTTTAATTTTAATTTTGGGTTTTTGTAAGTGGGTAATTCTGAAATCAGTGCAATGAGGAAAAAAGAATGGTTTTTTGGAGTCTGGACGTGGAAAGGGGAAAAGGGTATGGGTTGAATTGGTTGGGGCTTGTAAGTGGACACATGGTATTTGTGAAAAGTGTTATGAGGATATATGAAATATAATACCTGGATGAAATTAGTTGAAAATTGAGAATGGAGTTTTGTTTTGTTTTGTTTTGTGTGTGTTTGCTTATTGGCTTTGTTGTTGGTGTAGGTTGTGCCAAGGAGCATGGTGTGTGTGCAAAGTGTTGTTGCGGTCGAGACTGAATTGTTGGAAGGTTTTCTTTCTCACATTTGATGGAGAATTTGGTTTTTGTTTGCATTTGTAACAACATAAGTTCATTACAAGTTTGGTATAAAAAAATCAAAACAAAAAAATACATACTACATCGGTTTTTTCATAAGCTGATGTAAAAAGTGTTCAATATATATACTACATCGGTTTGTATGAGAACTGATGTAATTTTATCCATTTTCTACATCGGTTTTAGAACTGATGTAGAATGTCTCTCACATTCTACATCGCCGGAATCTACATCGGTTTTAGAACCAATGTAGATTATCCAAATGAACTGATGTAAAATGTCCCTATTGTAGTAGTGATATTTAATCCAATCCAAAAACTTGGAGTTGGTTTAGTTAGGTTCACCAAATGATGGTCAGACCTAGCTAAATCAATTCCTTGGAAAATATGGACCAAAGCAAGCCCAATATGCAAAATTTGGCATAAGCCCAATTCTGGCCCAATTACTAGTTGCACCTAGATACCTTGCTATTTGTTATCTCACTTCTACTACTGAAAAATATGAAAATGAATGACCTTTAATACAAGGTCAAATGGAGAAAAAGTCTCCAAGTAACATACCCTAAATTCCTAAAGGATAACCTAAAATAAAATAAAAAAGTGTCTCATAAATACAAAGACAAAATACACCTATACAAGCAACTACTATGTACAAGTATCATACAACGTATATACAATGGAGACTAAGAGACTAAAAAGAGGAATTATACTCAATGCTCATGAAGAGCATAGGTCTAATAAGCACCTCTTCTATAGAAGCCTCCTCTAGCCTCCTAACCATGGACCTAGTTAAAGGCCCAATGGTCTTCAAGTGTGAGCCTCCTTGGATCAACCTTCACCCTTCTTGGTCTTACCTTTTCCAAAGGGATCCTTGGGAATTAGATTTCCATCAGTTTTACTTTTATGGTTCTTGCTTCGATTAGTATGATGCTAGGGCTAAAGTTGTTGTTGTTTTGTCTATGGCATTTTGAGAATCAAGTTTTAGACATGAAGTTTATTTCTTTATATTTATTTTCTTTAGGGATTTATGACAGCCTGTTGATGACAATGATTATGAACTTATTTTTGTCTTATTCTTTAGTTAGTAATTTAAAAGTTTTTATCTAGTTCAAGAGACATGTGAGTCATTTTACATTGCAAATAAAAAACTTAATTTTATTTTAATATTTTCTAATGAAACGTATTTTCATAATAAATTCATAATAAGCCCATGATATAGCAATTGTTTTATTTTAAAAATGGAAAGTGAGAAGTTAAATTTTTTAGTGAAGAGGATAAAAAGAGACCAAGGGTTTATAGATTTAAGAATGGTGCTAATAAAGAAGGTCATTTAAAGAATGCGTCGTGTTGGAATTCGAAATAAGGAGTCATGATTACAATCATTAAAATACAATTGTGTTTCTTGATATATGAAAAAGAAAGTGAAAATATGTGATTATAATGACGAAACAAAGAAGTTAGATCTTAAAGAAAGTTTCTAATGAAGAAAACGCTTCAATTACTCATAATATGTAAATTTCTTTGAAATTATGTTTAGAATCCAATAACTTTAAAAATTCTTAACCTAAAATTACTTGTACATAATAATACTAACTTAAACTAATAGTTCTAGAGGTTGGTTAACCTCACTTTTAATCTTCCTCTTTAAAGATATATAAGGTCTATCTTACAGAAATCTAGACTAGGACTTTACTTTAAAGACAATATATTTGACACATGACAAATAAAACAATAATGACATTAAGGTAAGATTTATTCTTAATTTACTACATACATTTAAGCCAAATGTTGACTTAATTAAGTATCACATTTCTTTCAAGTGCCCCCAAAGGGCCTTGACATAACTGCATTAAGAACCGACAAAAAGTCACTACAAACAAAATGTTTCACAATACTTTACAACAATTTTCCAATTATTATTTTTTCTTTACCAACGGTCCTAAATTATTACGAATAAATAAAATACAAAGCTTCATTCGATATATTTTTAATTTTTCATCGTTCTCAGACTTGAAAAAATGTCCTCTTTCTTTATGATGGATAACATTGCCCAATTTTTTCCGTATCAAAGGTTAGTCGGAAGGAAAAGATTGGATGCTAACGTGACTTACTATTTTTATTTGTTTCGTTTGATTACAAAGCAATAATCCCATTTATGAATGAGAGTTTTGATCTTATTGCAATTTGGACTTCATTAAAGTTTGATTCCGAGGACATGATTATGTTATCATAGTAGATTGGTGTAGTGCTACTCATTCTTTCAAACTCTCATGTTAGATTTGACGAAATTGATTCATATATTTTTCAGTGAATCGACCTATGTAATTCACTCATTTAATACAGACCTAAAAATAATGATATTCTTGTATATTAAATAGACAAGGCTAAGGTATTAAATTGTACGGGTAAGAGCACTCGGCCACCGGATAGCCGACACCCGATCGGCCACCGAATAGCCGAACCTAGTAAACAACACCCGATCGACTGCCGAGTAGCCGAAGTCCCAAGTGCAGTACACCATGGACTCAGGAATTACCCCTAATCAAGAATTAAGGGTTAATCACACCGATAAGTCGATTAGGGACGTATTACTTAATACGGCAATCCTGTTGCAGGGCCCAGGGAAGTCAGGGCCTATTAATGTCAGTATAAATAGCTCATGTCACGAGGTAACGTCACTGTTCATTAATTACTATCGATATTTGTGTTTGTCTTGACTTGAGCGTTGGAGTGCCTTTTGTAGGTACCCTCCCTCTCACTGAAATATTCGATTGGAGCTCTCGTTTGGCCCTCAGAGTAAAAAATGATTACTAGTAATCCCTTCAGATAGGTACATTTTGGCGCCCACCGTGGGGCCGAACCAAGATTTTTTGTGAAGATTAACTGAGTAAGTCGAGCAATGGCAAAAACAAGGAGGACGAACATGGAAGATCACCAAACTGGCGAGGAAAGAGGACCACGTTGAGGTTGTCGACAAAATGGACCTCTCTGAAACCGTTCGTCAGCTGAAACAAGAAATGGCAGCTATGAAGCAACAACGAGAGAAAGATGTGAGGGAACTTTCAGCCTTGAAAGCAGAAAATGCTGCATTGAAAAATCAAGATCCTTCGTGGAGGCCTACTCAGCCAACCAACACTCAAACCCAAGTATCTTACTAGACTCATGAGATCCACACTTCGGCCCCTCATGCCTCAGCCATTGCACCCAAAAAGTTCCCATCAGCCCTACCCACGGTTGGTCGACCAGCGGACTTAGCGACGATTAGATCACACCGACACCCCTTTACCTCGTCCATTATGCAATTACCTTTGATGGATAATTGGAAATCCCTGCTGATCGATAAGTATGATGGCACACCGGACCCTGATGAACATCTTGATGTTTTTCTTACGCAGGTAACGTTGAGCACCACGGATGATGCTGCTTTATGTCGAATTTTTCCAACATCTCTCAAAGGCAGAGCCTTGAGTTGGTTCCCTCGGCTCCCTCCCAATTCTATTGACTCCTTCAACACTCTGTCTTCTCAATTCACTATCCAATTTGCAAAAAGTCGTCCCCACAATCTAACATCCTTATCACTAATAAGTCTCCGGCAAGACAAGAAGGAGTCACTTCGAACTTTTATGGATCGGTTCAATAAAGTGGCATTAGAAATCAGGGATCTCAACCCAGCTGTAGCACTCCATCACCTCACAACGGCTTTGAAACCAAGGCCATTCGTCAATAGCATCTGCAAGAAAGCCCCCTCGGACATGAATGACCAGCGAAGACACGCCGATAAGTACATGCAGATGGAAGAATTTGCTGAATTTCGCAACCAAGCCCAAGCTGAAACCATGACAAAGAATGAGAAGATAGTTGAACAACCGTTTAAGGGTCGCAATAAAGAAATAACACTTCGGGAACGACCTGTACGTGGTCCAAAATACTCTCACTACACTCCCTTAAATGCAAGTCGGGCGGTAGTACTCAAACAAGCTCTTGCGTCCGAGGTGTTGGCAATCCCGAAAAGAGCATCAACTCCTCCATACGCCGATACCAACAAATCTTGCAGGTATCACCGTAACCGTGGACACTCCACCGAGGAGTGCGCTGCTTTAAAGGATAAAATTGAGGATTTGATTAAGCAGGGACAACTCCAAAATTTTGTTGATCGGCCCGTCTCATCTCGGCCCTGGTCCGAATATCAACCTCGACACCATGAACGGTATAGACAAGACCGTTCTAAAGGGATTCAACGCGAGTGAAGCAGATCACGAGACAGGAAAGAAGAGCCCACAACATCGCATAGGCAAGTCATTAACATAATTGCAGGTGGGTTTGCTGGAGGAGGCCCAACCTCGTCAGCCCAAAAGAAGCATTTGCGTGCCGTCTGTCAGTTCACACAGTTGACAGACAGCCTACTCGAAGACTCCCATCTACAATGTTCACCGATGCAGATTTCCAAGGTATTGACCCTGTGCAAGACGATCCAATGGTGATTAGTGTTGAAATTCATAATTGCATAGTCAAGAAAACATTGGTAGATCAAGATAGTTCGATTGATATCTTATATTGGAATACCTTCAAATAGTTGGGAGTCTCTAAGAAGGTGCTAATTCCATATGATGATCCCCTAGTCGGCTTTTCAGGAGAAAGGGTCAGCACCAGGAGGTACATTAAGCTTTTCACTCGCTTTTGTTTTGATGAGCAGGAATATAGGGAAATTCAGGTGAAGTATATAGTGGTGCATGCCAACACATCCTATAATATTCTTCTCGGTCGGCCATCATTAAACATGTTGGGGGCTATCGTCTCGACGCCACATTTGGCAATGAAATTTCCATCTGATAAGGGGAAGATCCTTACGATCCATGCCGATCAGAAGGCGACTCGGGAGTGCTACTTTGCTAGCTTGCGGATAACTCTCGTTGAAGAAAAACAATCAAAATCAAAAAGGGTTCACGTGGTAAACCCTTTGGCATCAGACGAACTCCCGGTTTGGGATCTGGATCCGAGGATGAATGAGGAAGAGCATGTGGAACCAACTGAAGAAAAAATCCCTTTGCAAATCAATTCACAATCATCTCAAGTGACGTGCATCGGCACCGACGCGTCCGAAGGTGATCGTTCCACTTTAAGTGACGTAATCATTCGGAACAAGGACCTCTTCGCATGGACACCATCGGACATGCCCGGCATAGATCCAAACTTCATGTGTCACAAGTTGTCAATATGCGCTGAAGCGCGACCGGTAGCTCAACGTAAAAGAAAAATGGGCTCTGATAGAAAACTTGCAGTCGAAACGGAAGTTGCAAAATTGAGTGATGCTAGATTCATTCGGTAGGTTCAATACACGACATGGTTGGCAAATATGGTCATGGTAAAGAAGCCGAATGGAAAATGGAGAATGTGTACCGACTACACTAACCTCAACAAAGCATGCCCCAAGGATGCTTACCCATTGCCAAACATTAACCGATTGGTTGACGGTGCATCAGGGCATAGAATCATCACCTTCCTTGACGCGTATTCCGGATACAATCAAATTCGCATGCATCCTCGTGATGAAGAAAAAATAGCCTTTATCACCGATTTGACTAATTATTGCTATCGGGTGATGCCCTTCGGGTTGAAGAATGCAGGGGCAACTTATCAAAGGTTGATGGATAAAGTTTTTCGACACCAGATCGGCAAGAATATGGAAGTGTATGTAGATGACATGGTCATCAAGTCCGAAGACCTTAGCCGACACATAACCGACCTTGTAGAGGTGTTCCAACAACTCCGCAAGCATGACATGTGGTTGAATCCAGAAAAATGTGTATTCAGCATATCCGGAGGAAAGTTTCCCGGTTTCATGTTATCGGCAAGGGGCATCGAAGCCAATCCCGACAAATGCCAAGCGGTCATCGGTATGAGAATCCCCTAGAATCTTAAGGAAGCCTAGAGGTTAGCCGGACGGCTTACTTCTTTATCGAGATTTCTTCCATGCCTGACCGAAGTAGCAAAACCTATCATTGGGTTGCTAAAAAAAGTCAAGAAGTTCGAATGGTCTATCGATTGTGAAGAAGCTTTTCAAGCATTAAAACAGCGTCTCGGCTCCCCCCAATCCTTTCAAAACCCAATCCTCGTGAAAATATGGTGGTATATTTATGTGTATCCAATGAAGCCATCAGTGCGGTGTTGATACAAGAAAAGGAAACACAACGACATGTGTACTTTATCATTCGGATGCTCCAAGAATCCGAAATAAGATATCAACTTTTAGAAAAAGGTAGCACTCGGGCTAGTTCACACGGCTCGGCGCCTCCAATAGTATTTTCAAAGTCATCATGTGATAGTCTGAACTGATTGCCAAGTCGCCAAAGTATTGCGCAAGCCTGAGTTGGCTGGGCGAATGATGGCCTGGTCAATTGAACTTTCAGAGTTTGACATGTCGTTCGAACTGCGGGGACCGATTAAATCTTAATGCTTATCAGATTTTTTCAATGAGTTACAATCGAAAGGCCACTTCATGAGTTACCTATGGACGATGCATGTTGATGGCTCCTCAAATAGCCAGGGTAGCAGGGCTGGAGTAATCCTTGAAGGACCCACAGGTCTAACACTCGAGCAATCTTTGCGTTTTGCTTTCAAGGCCTCGAATAACCAAGCTGAATCTGAGGCATTGCTGGCAGGGTTAAGGGTTGCTCAAGAGATTGGGGCTCAACGTTTAATGTGTTGGACAGACTCGAAAGTTGTATCGGAATAGGTGAACGACAATTTCCAAGTAAAAGATTCCAATTTGTTGAAATATTATCATATATTTCAACAAATGTGTAGTACTTTTGATGAAGTCCAGATGAAGCACACGGCAAGAGAGAACAATGAGAGAGCCGATCAGCTGGCTCAGTTGGCTAGCAGTAGCTGGAAACTGGGGCAACTACAACCACACTTCATCTAGACCTTTCAGCTCCTAGTGTGAAATCCATTGAATGTATGCCGATTGTCGAACCTACCCAAACTTGGATCACTGAAATAATGGACTACATTGAACTTGGAAAATAGCCGACAGACCCTTCTACCACTAGAAAACTCCGAACACAAGCAGCCTGATACTCGATCGTAGGTAGGGAGCTATATCATAGGGGTTTCTCAACACCGTTGCTGAAATGTGTCGACTCGGCACAGGCGGACTACATTTTGAGAGAGATACATGAAGGGATTTGTGGTTCTCATTCAGGTGGAAGGACTTTGGCAGCCAAAGTCTTGAGAGCTGGTTATTACTGGCTGACTCTTAAGACTGACTGTGCCGAATTTGTTAAACGGTGCACGCAATGTCAACGACACGGCAACATCATTCACGCCTCGGCTGAAGAACTGCACAACATTAGCACTCCTTGGCCGTTTGCATTATGGGGGATGGACATCCTTGGCCCATTCATCCTTGCAAAAGGACAATGCAAGTTCTTATTGGTAGCCATTGACTATTTCACAAAATGGATTGAGGTCGAACCACTAGCTACAATCACCGCGGGCATGGTCTAGAAGTTTCTATGGAAAAACATTATCACACGCTTCGGCATTCTGCACGCCATTGTTAAGGACAATGGTCTTCAATTTACGGATCATAAACTGAACAAATTCAACGGACAGGATGAGGCTGCAAACAAGGTGATCCTTACAGAACTGAAGAAGCACTTGGGAGATTCCAAAGGGGCTTGGGCTGAAGAACTGTTAGAAGTTTTATGGGCTTACAAATGTACGCCTCAATCCACAACAAGGGAAACCCCATTTTGATTGACGTACGGCACGGATGCCATGATTCCTGTCGAAGTCGGGGAGCCCTCCTTTCGTCGACTACAATTTCATGAGTCATGTAACGAATCATCCCTCCGAGCGAAAATTGATGTGGTTGACGAGGTTTGCAACAAGGCGCGCATTGTCATCGAAGCATGCAAACAAAGGATGACTTGGCGATTCAACTCCACCCTCACCAAGTGGAGTTTTAAGGAGGGAGACCTAGTATGGCATATTTAGGGGTCGGCCAGGCGGAACCCGCGAGAAGGCAAGTTGGCAGTCAATTAGGACGGCCCATTCAGAATCTGTCATAATCTCAACAATGGGGCATACAAGCTCGAGGAACTCTCAAGGAAGATCATTCCGAGAACTTGAAACTCAACTCACTTGAAGGCTTATTTTAGTTAGAAATTTTTCTTGTAATTACCAATGTATATACAGGGTGCACTCTTTTCCTTGATCGGTCTTTTCTCCCCTTATAAAAATGTGAAAAGAGGTTTTGGCCGACAAGGTTTTTAACGAGGCACCATTCAATAAAAATCAAGTCACTTCTCCTCCATTATTTTGTTCTTCATTATTTGTAATCAGTCGCATAAAAATAAACACAAAATGGCTTCCCTCCCGAGTGATTCCACTTGGCCATGGACGTGCCTAAGAATTTTTCACAAAAAGGCTTCCCTCCCGAGTGATTCCACTCGAACAAGGACGTGCCTTCGGACTTCATACAAAAAAGGCTTCCCTCCCAAGTGACCCCACTCGACCAAGGATGTGCCTTCGGACTTCATACAAAAAAGGCTTCCCTCCTGTGTGATCCCACTCGGCCAAGGACGTGCCTTCGAACTTCATACAAAAAAGGCTTCCCTCCCGATGACCCCACTCGGCCAAGGATGTGCCTTCGGACTTCATACAAAAAAGGCTTCCCTCCCGAGTGATACAAAAAGGCTTACCTCCCGAGTGACCCCACTCGGCCAAGGATGTGCCTACGTACTTCATTCAAAAAAGGCTTCCTTCCCGAGCAACCCCACTCGGCCAAGGATGTGCCTTCGGAATCTACCAAAAAGGCTTCCCTCCCAAGTGTCCTTGTCTTTGAAAGTTTCAAAAAGGGCTCCTTCGCCGAATAACTTCGCTTTCAGTTTCTACTTAAAACAGACGCCTCACTGAATGATCCCATTCAGTTTTTACTCAAAAAGGACGCCTTGCTGAATGACCCCATTCGGTTTTTACTCAAAAAATACGCCTTGCTGAATGACCCCATTCGGCTTTTAGTCAAAGGACGCCTTGTCGAATGACCCCTTTCAGTTTTTACTCAAAAAAGACGCCTTGCCGAATGACCCCATTCGATTTTTACTCAAAAAAGACGCCTTGGTCGAATGACCCCATTCGGTTTTCACTCACAACGATCCCTTGCCGAATGACCTAACACGGCAAAGCTACGGATTTTTCTAAAAATGCATTGTTGAATGACCCTATTCGGCTGAGGACGCTTTCCAGTCACACGACTTCTTCACCGAACTCAACTCGGCAAAGATCACACCTTGGAGATGCATTTGTCATAACTACTCGGCCATGAAGAATGTCACTATTTAACTAGAGAAGTCACAGTCATTTACGAAAGGAAACAACATTTTTCAATTAGAAAAAGTCACTTCATTACAAAATAAAAGGCTCTGTCGGCCCATCTTACATTAATCAAATAAAACCCCTATCGGTAAACAAAAGCTTTGATTAAAGCAAAAAAGTTGGACTACCCTAAAACGCCTTCAGATGCACCCTGATCCTCGGAATCCTCGACGGGGTCCTCACGAGTCTCGGCATTGACCTCCTGGTCGGGATTTTGTTCCTCCTACTCGTCCTCGGTCTCGCCATCGAAAGCAACCTGAGTATCTTCCTCCAACTCCGAGGTAGAGCTCGGCTCATTGCTATCGGGGTTTGCCCCCTCTAGCATATCCCCGAATGACATGAAGGACCCTTGGTAGAAATCTTGGCCCATGTCAAATTCAAAATCTTCCCGGAATCGGCCAAAATACTTGGCTTGCCGAACGGCGTGTCGGAACCCGGCTTCATGTTGAGCGACAATACGCTCTTTCGCTTGTTCTTTCAGCCAGTCCATCTCGGCCTTCGCCTCTTCCATCCGACGACGCTCCTCGTTGGACGCTTTTTGAAGATCCAGTCGAAGAGTATCATTCTCGCACCTTAGTATATCGAGTTCGGCAGTGAGCTCTCGATTCTTGGCCGTTACATCTTGGGTAGTTGAAAGGGCTTCGGTAGTGGCCTTGTCGGCCTCCTCAACCCTTTGCTTCAAGCACATTAACTCGTCGGTCGGCTCCATAGCAAGATCACTACAAGAAATTCGTCATTTTGCGGGTTTTTTTTTCATATTGCGGCGGTTTTCGCCGGCCTCAACATAAGTAATGGCGTTTTATAAAAACGTCGCAGTTACGTTCGCCACTAGCATTATACGGCGGTTTTTACCAACCTCCGCTACCTTTTCCATTCTACGGCGTTTTGTTTAGAGGGGGTTTTTGACCTCCTCAATTTGAATGATGTTTTTTTTAATTTCACAAT